CCCCCGCCCCCTGCCCTCCCCAGTCACTCCAGGTCGATTAATCCTCTAGAATTACAGGCTGGAAAATTCAGCTCTAGTAGTCAGCAGACAGGTCTCAACAGGGGCTGTGGATTTCAGACCGGAAGCCTAACCTTCTGAGCCCACTTAAGCCCCTTTCCGCCTGCCAGTCAGTGCCACTACAGACAGCGCTGCGGGCAGGATGCCAAGAACACCCACGCTGGGAGGTCCCACCGGGCCCTGATGTGATGGAGAGGAGCCGGGGGCCCTCTGGACCCATTGTGCTTAATTACACCTTACTCTAAAGCCTCCTAATCATTACAAAGACCGGGATCTGATTAAAAACCCCATCCATTTCAAGCCCGTCCCATAATTCTGATCGACAACTTTAAACGCAAATAGAAAAACATCTTATCTCTAATAAAACAAGTGCTGACAGAAAGATGGATGTCGAAAACCAGCCATATGGCTGACACGATTCCGTGCCTGGCCATGTTCACAGCGTGCAGCTTCCGCAGAAAGAGATGACACTGAGAAGCTTGAGGACCCGCATTTAATAAATCGAACTGTGCTGGCATCATCAGAATATTCACAGTTTGCAACAGGAGCTGTGTGTCCTTTTTCACTTGCAGACTTGGAGGTGTTTTAGGAGAAAGTGACTTCGGTGAGCTGTTCTGATGCTTAATTCTTTACCGACCCGGGTGCCTTCAATGTGTCATCGTGGCTGACCTCGTTCCCCTTCAGGTTTTCATGGTGTTCCTTCTACCTCCACTCTCTGGGGTCTCTCCTTGCCATCTTCCAGGGTGGGAGCTTCTGCTGCAGGCTGGCTGGACTCAGAAGAGTCCGGGCAAGGTTTGGGGCACGACCCCTTGGCGGCCAGGCCCGGCGGGGATGGCCCCATCTCGTCCCTCCGACTCTCCACGGGACTCTCTCTTGTGACCCCTTCTGGTTTGGCAGCTGCCTGCTCCTCTGCCAGTTTCACGATTTCCCTTCCAAGCCTGTTTACTTCTTCTTCCTCAGAAGGTAGCTGGGGTAATGAGGGACGAAAGTGCTTGCGTTGGTTCCTGTGGCTCTGATTTCCTGGGGAGCTAACGGCGGGCCTCCCAGCATCCTCCCGCACTGTCAACGCCTCGGCAGCGGCACGACTTTCATCTCGTTCTTGCTTCTGAGCCTCGCCTGAAACAGACCAGGGACAGCATCAAACCTCTGGCTGGAAGTCAGCCCTTACTTCCCCTCTCCTTCCAACCTCGAGCCCACTGCTGCCGGGCCTCCGACATAGAAAATCCTGCTGAAGGGGACACAGGACCCACAAAAAAGAAAACAGCCACTCTGGTGATTCCTGTGTCATTAATGGAGGGAAAGGATGACGTGGGCCATGTCTGTAACCCCTCCCTTCCAGGCGCCCGGTGATCGCCTGCTTCGCTCTCTGATGGTGGTTCCTTGTGCCCATGAAATATTTAACCTGAGGACAAAGGTTTTGTAGGTTCTGTAGCTCGGGGAAGATCTGGGGCTCTTTAGTAACGAAAAGGGGTTCTGGCAGCTCTCTGTGTGGGAAACAGAAGGAGAGTTAGGGAGGGATTGAGCCCCTCCACCCCCATCTCCATCAGCACCTCGTTCTTTGATGCAGACCACTTGTGCTTTCTCGCTTTCAATAAACTGCTGTGTGCAAAAGCAACTTCAAGCTCCCTACCCCGCCTCACTAAACTGTTCTTTCTAAACCTGTACAACAGAAATTCTCTAGCTGCAACTGGAGGGGGATGGGAGAGAACATGGGGCCCTGAGAGCCAGCATCCAGCCCCCACTTTCCTATTTGCTTGCTTTGTGATCGGGATGACCTGTTTGGCCTTCTTTTTTTTTTTTTTTTATTAACATCTTTATTGCAGTATACTTGCTTTACATTGTTGTGTTAGTTTCTGCTGTATAACAGAGTGAATCAGCTATACGTGTACATATATCCCCATATCCCCTCCCTCTTGCGTCTCCCTGCCACCCTACCTATCCCACCACTCTAGGTGGTCGCAAAGCACCGAGCTGATCTCCCTGTGCTATGCGGCTGCTTCCCACTAGCTATCTATTTTACGTTTGGTAGTGTATATATGTCCGTGCCACTCTCTCACTTTGTCCCAGCTTACCCTTCCCCCTCCCCGTGTCCTCAAGTCCATTCTCTACGTCTGTGCCTTTATTCCTGTCCTGCCCTTAGGTTCATCAGAACTCTTTGATTTTCTTTTAGATTCCATATATATGCGTTAGCATACAGTATTTGTTTTTCTCTTTCTCACTTACTTCACTCTGTATGACAGACTCTAGGTTCATCCACCTCACTACAAATAACTCAATCTTCTTTCTTTTTATGGCTGAGTAATATTCCATTGTATGTATGTGCCACATCTTCTGTATCCATTCATCTGTCGATGGACACTTAGGTTGCTTCCATGTCCTGGCTATTGTAAATAGAGCTTCAATGAACATTGTGGTACAGGACTCTTTTTGAATTATGGTTTTCTCAGGGTATGTGCCCAGTAGTGGGATTGCTGGGTCACATGGTAGTTCTAGTTGTAGTCTTTTAAGGAACCTCCATACTGTTCTCCATAGTGGCTGTATCAATTTACATTCCCACCAACAGTGCAAGAGGGTTCCCTTTTCTCCACACCCTCTCCAGCATTTATTGTTTGTAGATTTTTTGATGATGGCCATTCTGACTGGTGTGAGGTGATACTCATTGTAGTTTTGATTTGCATTCTCTAATGATCAGTGATGTTGAGCATCTTTTCATGTGTTTATTGGCAATCTGTATATCTTCTTTGGAGAAATGTCTATTTAGGTCTTCTGACCATTTTTGGACTGGGTTGTTTTTTTGATTTGGAGCTGCATGAGCTGCTTGTATATCTTGAAGGTTAATCCTTTGTCAGTTGCTTCATTTACAAATACTTTCTCCCATTCTGAGGGTTGTCTTTTCATCTTGTTTATGGTTTCCTTTGCTGTGCAAAAGATTTTAAGTTTCATTAGGTCCCATTTGTTTATTTTTTTAATTTCCATTTCTCTAGGTGGTGGGTCAAAAAGGATCTTGCTGTGATTTATGTTATAGAGTGTTCTGCTTATGTTTTCCTCTAAGAGTTTTATAGTGTCTGGCCTTACATTTAGGTCTTTAATGCATTTTGAGTTTACTTTTGTGTATGGTGTTAGGGAGTGTTCTCATTTCATTCTTTTACGTGTAGCTGTCCAGTTTTCCCAGCGTCACTTATTGAAGAGGCTGTCATTTCTCCATTGTATTCTCTTGCCTCCTTTGTCAAAGATAAGGTAACCATATGTGTGTGGGTTTATCTCTGGGCTTTCTATCCTGTTCCATTGATCTGTATTTCTGTTTTTGTGCCAGTACCATACTGTCTTGATTACTGTAGCTTTGCAGTATAGTCCAAGGGCTGGGAGCCTGATTCCTCCCGCTCCATTTTTCTTTCTCAAGATTGCTTTGGCTATTTGGGGTCTTTTGTGTTTCCATACAAATTTTGAAAATTTTTGTTCTAGTTCTGTGAAAAATGCCATTGGTAGTTTGATAGGGATTGCATTGAATACGTAGATTGCTTTGGGTAGTATAGTCATTTTCACAATGTTGAGTCTTCCAATCCAAGAACATAGTACATCTCTCCGTCTGTTTGTGTCATCTTTAATTTCTTTCATCAGTGTCTTATAGGTTTCTGCGTACAGGTTTTCTGTCTCCATAGGTAGGTTTATTCCTAGGTATTTTATTCTTTTTGTTGCAGTGGCAAATGGGAGTGTTGCCTTAATTTCTCTTTCAGATTTTTCATCATTAGTGTATAGGAATGCAAGAGATTTCTGTGCACTAATTTTGTATCCTGCTACTCTACTAAATTCACTGATTAGCTCTAGTAGTTTTCTGGTGGCATGGCCTTCTTCTTTTCAGATACAAAATGAGGGGCAGGACTCTCTGATGGTCCTTCCGGACCTAACAAGCTAAAGAGGCTCTGCAAGCCTGGGAAGCACTTGGGGAGTGAACTCTTGGCACCCAGACATGTGTGTTCAACACTAGACCCTGTGGTTCTCAGAAGTCAAGGCAGACCTTGACTGCTGTCCCCACACCCCAAGCCTCTAGTTCTGATACAGATTTGCTTCTCACATTCAAAAGAAGCCACTTTCCTTCTCTTAAGCCCTTTTAATGACCATAGAAATTTCCCAGGGACAGACATTCGACCAAATCTTGTATATACTCTAAAGCCTGTATTTAGTCATGGACCACTATGTATTACTCTCCTAAGAGCTCATTGACTTCAGTAAGTATTGTACCTGAAAATGAGACCATTACTTGTGCTTAAATGAAATTCATGAATATATAAATGAGTGACTAAAGCAAGCCTTGATCTTTAAAAAAGTAACTCTTCAGATCTGTTCAGCCAGGATAACGTACGTTAGTTCCTAATAGGTTCCTGTGCTCCCCCGCTCCTCCTGCTATAATCCAACCTATCAGGAGACGAACCTTCCCTAAGGCTTTGCTACTAAAAGTGGGGTACGTGGACCAGCAGCAGTGGCATCACCTGGCAGTTTGTTAGACATGCAGTATCCTATCCCAGACCTACGGGTTCAGAATCTGCATTTTAGTAAGATCGCAGGCGATGTGGCTGCACGTTACAGTGTGAGAAACACTAGAGCTGAAACACAAATATGGCTATGCCTTTCCCCAGCTCTCAAACCTCCAAAGGCCGCCACCACCCTGAGAACAAAGCCCAAGCTTCTCCTGACATTCAAGACCTTCAGTGACCCAACATCCATTTACCTGCCATGCCAGCTCTTCTCCTCGTGCCCTTAAACTCCAGCCACACCGAACCCTTCATGGCACCCAGCCCTGCCCTCTGCGTCTCTGCTTACATGGCTGAAGCCTCCGTGACCGTCATTCCCTGATGTGTCAAGATGACCAGCTTCAAGAGTGAGCCCCACCTCCACCTCGTCCGTGAAGCCTGTTTGATTAAATCCTTCCACTGTCCTAATCCCTTGGAGGTTGTGTCTGAACCTCCAAGGGAACTTCATACGTTTTACTTTTTTAACCCTTAAATTGTTACTTATGTATAATTAGCTTATAAAACGCGCCTGAAGTATAAAATCTTACCTGATTAATTTTTTACCTTTGCCAGTAAAGGGGGGCTCAGTAAATAGCTTATTAATTAAGTGTTTGAATCTACAGACGTATACATGAATGCATGAATAAATGAATATGTTAGTACATATATTTCAATACCATCCATAAATAAATGAAAGCAGTCCTTGGATTTATTTGTTCCAGGTTCAGGTTGCTAAAAGTTCTTAAAATGGCACTTTGAGAAAAAAAGATTTCTAACTCACACAATCATTTAGCTACATCTGTGGTAGCTCAGGGAAGCAATCACATAATTTTCATACTAACAAATGAAAAAATGTTATAGCGGTTATACAGGAGACACGGGGAAACACGGAGTCAAAATGAGCCAGTTTCCAGCATAGTGCAAGAAGCTTTATTCAAAAGGAGTAAATTATGGTCCTTTCTGCGGCTAAATTTTTCACCAACGTGAGATGAATAAACTCCTTCTGGAAATTACTCTTATGAAATTACTTCTTCCAGGACACTTAATAGTATATTCTGGTGCCCCTGAAAAATTAATTAACCTTATCCGTAACAACCTAACCCCTAAACCATTTGCGCTGCTTTTACTGTAGGTCAGGTTAATCTTCTCTACCTTAATTTACATCTAAGGGAGGGTGGTCTAAATTACACTGGGGCCTTTTGGTTCGCTGGTCCTTTGCCTTGTGCCATTTTTTTAGATGACATTCCGCTCACATCCAAATGTATGAATCTTTTTTAAAATGGCAAACCTCTGAGATTACCAGGGAGAACTTTTTAACTTTTGGGGGGTGAGGGGAATGGGGGCCACACTGCTGTCATCATTATAGGTCAAGGCACAGTCGCAGTAAGGGGATGGACACGGCTGTAATTCTCTTGTCTGGTCCTATTGCGGATTTTTTTTTTTTTTTTTCCAAGAAAGCCTAGATTTTCAGACTCTCAGGACCGTAAACATATAGGGACCAGGCTCTGAGACTGGCTTATGGGTCAACAGCAGGATTTGCCAATTCTCTTCTCGCTTTTGTTTATCCAAAAGATATCTAAAAAGTACACTCAAGTAGTGATCAGAAGACAAAGAAAAGTTACTGATAATACCACAACTCTTGAGCTAATAAGGAGGACCTCTGGTAATTTGCTGTGGGAGCAGAATCTTCCTTTAACTCTGTGATTCTGGAATGTTGACTCTTAAGCTGTGGGAGTTTTATTTCTCCTTTGAGAACAGACACATAGCATTGCCATTTCTTTTCTTTTTTTTTTTTCCTTTTGCGGTACGCGGGCCTCTCACTGTTGTGGCCTCTCCTGTTGCGGAGCACAGGCTCCGGACGCGCAGGCTCAGCAGTCCTGGCTCACGGGCCCAGCCGCTCCGTGGCATGTGGAATCTTCCCGGACCGGGGCACGAACCCGTGTCCCCTGCGTCGGCAGGCGGACACTCAACCACTGCGCCACCAGGGAAGCCCTTGCCATTTCCATAAAAGAAAGATTTCTGAATTGGCTCGGAATTGGAAAATATTATCACTCCCCAAATAGTAATTATTCCGTGCTGCTTTAGCAAACAGAATTAGTATCATTAATACTTATTAATAACAATATACATCTCAATAATGATGAGGCAATCAACTGATACAAATGCATTAGGACACAAATAGTGCAGAAAGAAAAAATATTTTCTCTAAAAGAAAAAAACAGTAGCTCTTTGTAGAAAGGATTGCTGGTCTTCTAAAAATGTGTTCCCTCCCCCCTAACATTGGCCCGAAGGGCCCATTCATCTTCTTTTGTTAACTGGTCTCTGATGGGCTTTGTCTTCCTGAGTGTGAGCTGCTTTCAGTTGGAATTAATCAGAGATGCAGCGGTGATGAGGGCATCCCAGACACTGACAGCAGTTACATAAATGCTTCCTTGTTGCCACCCATGCTGGCGAAGGACAGGGTTGGAACAATGAGAGCTAATGATGGAACTCTGAAAGCTATCATTTTGAATCAGGCCGTTACTTACGCTACCCTTCTGAAAATCAAGCCAGGCTCAGACTCCATGTCAGGTTAGCAGGCTTGGGCCTGCCCGGGGGCTCAGCAGGCCACAGCAGACAGAGGGCTTTGGATCTCCATGGGGACACTGGATGCTGGCATGGGATGACCACCAGCCAAGGCATGTTCCAGACTGCACAGTGGGCTACGGTGTGTTACAGGCCAGCCTTGCAAACAGCCACATGCTGCTGGCTAGAAAGTCCCAGCCTTGTCTTCTGGCCAGTGTGGGAACCCCACAAGTCAGGAGCTCTCTCCAGGAATTCTTCCCGCATGTGCTTGGGGAACCTCTCTGTTGAAATCCTAGACCTGTCCAGGCTTCTCTTCTTACCATTCCATGCACTAGTATGAGTGATCTGGTTAGGCTTCGAAACACACCTGTACAGAAGCAGGAGTGAGCCTTGCTGAACCCAGCTCAGATTAGCAGAACCACCCATCGGATCCAAAGACTCAGGATAAATAATACATAGCTGTTGCTTGAAGTTCTAAGTTTTGGGGTGTTTTATTATACAACGGCTAACAAGAGACAGTTGGGAGCCACTTGAGATTTTTGAGCAGAGTACAACCATGATGGAAAGCAGTGCTCCAGAAGCTTCATCCCACAGCAGCAGGATGAAGATGGGAAGGGAGTAAGGAGATTCTGGGAGGCAGGAAAACCAGGATGGAAGCCTTGCCAAGAAGGTCAAGAGCACCTAAACCAAGCCAGAGGTGGGAGAAGTGGAGATACAAGAAACTGAAAAAACAGTAGCAGCAGACTAGATATGGATGGAGAAGGAAAGTGGACGGTGGTTGATGATGACTCTGCTGGACAGCTAAGTGACAAAAAGAGGAAGCAGGAAGAGTTGTGACGTCATACTTGAGAAGCCCATAGAATATGCAGGTGGGAAAGTCTGTGCTTTGGGAAATATGGGACTGTAACTCTGCAGACGGGACCCACTGGGAAAAAATTTCAAAAATATTTTCATAGAGGTGTGGCTGAAGGCATGACTCTGAGCAAGAGAAGATGGAGAGGAATTGTAGAAACCCAGGAAAGAAGCGTGACACCCGTGTGCTGGGTATATTAGTTATCTGATGCTGTATAACAAATTGTCTCAAAACTTAGCAGCTTGAGACTCAGGAGCCTGGGAGCAGTTTATCTGGGTGGTTCTTGCGAATGGTCTCCAATGTGGTTGTCATCAAAACGTTAAACAGGGCTGTTGTCATCTGAAGGCTTGACTGTGGCTGGAGAATGTGCTTCCAAGATGGCACACTCACGTGGCTGATGGCTGGAAGCCTCAGTTCCAGGCCACGTGAAGATCATGTAGGGCTGCTCGAGAATCCTCAGGACATGGCAGCCAGCTTCCTCCAGAGTGAATGATCCAAGGTAGAGACAGCAAGGCAGACTCCACAGGTCTTTCATAACTCGGCCTCAGAGCTCACATACCATCACTTCTGCTGTAATCCATCAGTCACACAGACCAACGCTGACACAGTGTGGGAGAGGACTACACAGGGCACAAATGCCAGGAAGTGGAGATCAATTGGGGCCATGTTGGAAGCTGGTAACCACACTGGGGGCGGAGGGAGCAGATGAGCCAAACTCAGAGAGATGTGAAAGATAGTTTAGTCAGGGAAATGAGACTGCCACCTGGGAAGAGATCTGGTTCTCGACCCTGTTGCTTCATCTGGCACCTTAAATGGGCCCTTGATCCCCTTCAAAACACACTGCCTCCAGAAAGTGTGCCTGGTAAAGTTTTTTCCTCCATCCAACTGATTCCTAGACCACTTACCACATCGCCAGGCAATGTGCCAAGATTTCCCTGACACTGGTACCACATCTCACCGTCTTATAGGTAGGGAAGCTGAGGTTGGAGTTACCAGTCCAAGTTCTCACAGCCAGTGTGACGTGGGGCTGGAATATGAAGCCAGGTTGCTCAAATCCTGAGCCCTCGCTCTTAACCTCTATGCCACCATATGCTGAGAGTGCAGGGGTGCTTGTTCTCCTGCAGGAAGCTCCAAACAAGACAGACCCACAGAGGCAACAAGAAGAAACATGAGGGATGACCCAACGGTGCCACAGAAGCTGCCGGAAGGCGAAGGGCTGAGGTCCTCCAAGCCCCTGTGCCAGGCACAGGCCAGGCAAAGGGCAAGAAATCAAGGGCTGCTTACCGTCCTTGGGACTCGCTTTGTTCTCAGTGAGCTGCTCGACGAACTTGAGCAGTGGGGATCTTGACCTCTGCGTGGTGGGAAGAGCGGGGTCACCAAACAGTATGGTGTCTTTGCCTCCTGTCATGGAAAAGAGGAAAATGGACATATTATGTCACCACTGGCGTCACGGTCACACTCATCCCACACAAAGGACCGGCTGTTTGGGTGAACAAGGCGCCTTCCTCAGTTGCAGGGAGCGCTGTGGGAGGGAAAGGGCCAGCATTGCCCTCTCTGCAGTGTGAGGACCCGGCAGAAAGGTCCAGGGCCAGCTGTCTTTGAGTCCTAGAGTCTGCTCAGGACATGGCTGCCCACAAATGCCACCGTTAAGGGGTAGCCTGCTATGTCTGCCAAAAACTGAGTGGCTTTGATCTGGGTGAGACAATAACAATAATAACGACAGCAGTAGAGTGCTTTGAGCGCAGGCTCCGGAGCCACGCTGTAGTGCTTGTGTCCCGGACCCCATCGCTTGCTAGCTGGGTGGCCTTGGGCAAGTCACTGAACCTCTCTGAGCCTCAGAGCCCTCATCTGTAAAGTGAGGAAGAATAACAGCACCCACCTCATGGGGTGGTGGTGATAAAATGAACTGATTCATGTAAAGCACTTAGGCATTTCGTCAGCGCTCAATACATTTCACACATTGAATTATTACTTTATGGTGGAGACAGAACTGCCCTACACGTATCTCTGATTTAATTAGCTTTGGTCATTTAGATCGAATCATTAAGTTTGTCATAAGGCAGGTAGCATCAGGTTCCCTAAATGATCACAGCTAACCTCTACTTAGGACATAGAGACCTGCACCAGCCAAAGCCTTTTATGGATTCACATGAACTCCCTAAGTGGATAGAGAAAGCCTGAGGCAAAGAGAAGGAGGAAAGGAAAACCACTACAACTCTACTCTTGAGGCCATGGCAAGGTATGGGGGTGAGGATGAGGGAAGCGTGGCTTTGAAACATGAGCTGATGAGCACAGACACGTGGACACAAGACACGTACACAGAAAGTGATGCTGCCCCAGTGATAAGGAGAGCCCTGCAGGAAGGATTTGATCCCAAACTCCTGCCCATGAGCCCTGAAGATTCTCTCGGTGGGAACCACCATGCCAACAGCAAAACCCCTGGGGGCCGTGGCCCAGCCCATGCTCCAGCCTCAACTGTCTGACTTTGGATGAGACCTTATCTGAAACCAAGTCACTTGAACGTCTCTGGGGCTCAGATCAGAGGCTCTAAAGTTCTATGACTCTACTCAGTTTCAGGTTCGGCAGAGCACAGAATGGTATTTGGGTCAAGATGTCCACTCCCTTGGATAGCCAGGTGAACCTTGGCCTGCACCTGGGAGCCCTCAACTTGTTTATAATACTACCCTCCCTGTAGGCCATGCACGTCTTATTAACTTGATTTCCAAGACTGTAGTAGAGAGTTTGGCGTATGGCAGGTGCTTCATAAACAGCTGATAACTGTGCATAAATGGCTGATGCATTCTCGGAAATCCTGATGTCTTGGTGGGCATGGGTGCTTGCAGCTGCCACAGGCAGATGGAGTATGTTACTAGCAGCCATTTGTCTCTGGTTTCCGCTATTTGAGGGTCGTCCCAGAAGAGAAATCTGATAGGAGCTGACCCTGAAGTTCTCCACCAGCACAGCTATCGTCTCAGGTGGAAAAAGTCCCGAAATCTTCAGGACCACAGTCTGGAGAGGTTTCCCAAGGAGAACCATTTGAGCTATACCTTGGGATATTTTAAGAGGCTCTCAGAATGAAGTCAACCCAGTCAGGACTCTTCTTGTGCTGCAAAGATAAAATCTAGAAACACCATGAGGAACTAATGGTTGTTATGAAGCCACAGCAGATGCCTCAGGTGGGCTTCTTGTTTCTCTCCACCAAGGCAACAGTTATTGTCCTCAAGTCAGGGACGGGACTGCAATTCCTGACCCATCTTTCTCTAGAAGGTAGACTGGAAGTTCTCTAACCTTAAGGGGACTCAGGAAGAGGCACACTCTGTACTCTGTGTCCCAACAAACCTTCCAAGTCCCCTCTGCCCTGTGGCCAAGGAATCAGGATTACGGGCAGAGTTGGGAGCTGGCTGCAGGTGGGTGACTAAGGCCCCAGGTGGATGGTGCGGGGAGCCTCGGCCCTTCCTATTGTGAGGAATTCTCCAGGGCAGGATGTCTCCGTGGCTGTTTCCAACCACCGGGATTATGGAGGAGCCACTCTGCAATGGCTCCTCAAAAACACTGGTACCAGCACATAAAACTTCTCCAAGAATCTGAGCAACAGGCACGCAGACAAGGGAAACAGAAGTCGCCATTCATCCATATCCAGTCAAAGTAGGGGCTGGGGAGAAGTTAAATACCTCCCTAAATCCCTGCCTGCTGTGATCATTTCCTTATCTGATGGCAAAATGCCAAGATTTGGTTTTTGCAAAATATTTGAAGAATTCAAAGACCTTCCTTAGAAGGCTCTCAGTTCTATTGTTTCCAACTAAGCCCGGATTCTATCTGTGTTGACTAAATTGAGCTCTAAACTGATGGTCTGCTATCTCCTAGTTGCATTTTGGTTCTTGGGACTGGGGAGTGGGGTGAGGGAGATCCACGAACTAGATGTGAACCACAACAAATGTAGGTCACACAGGCCCTTCCATTCTACTGGTGCTTGAGTTTCTGGAAGCCCTCCTGATTCCCTGTAATACAACGTCCCCTTCTCCAAAATGTGCCAGTTACTTTCAAAATGCACATTTTCCTCCTCAGGCTGATGTTGAGAGTGGAGAACAGAGAATTCAAATAAAAAGCTCAAAGAGCCAGACTCTGCTCTTGCCAGATTTTTTTCTGGCTTTCAGTATTTCTTTCCAGAGCATGAGCACATCCAGGAAATCTCCCCAGTGCCCCCCTTCCCCGCAAGCATGATTCTCACCTGCAGACTCCAGCATAAGGATGGGAGAATGAGGCTGACAGGTAGGGGCTGAGGAAGGTGGAGGGTCATTCCTTCCTGAAGGGCATGGCCAACCAGCCCACCCCCTGGCTTCCTCAAAATAGCCCCGTGCCTTTCCCACTTCTCAGGGACCCGTTAAACAGTCTGGAGTACACTCTGCTTTCCAGATGATTTTTCCATGTGGGCTGTGACATCTGTTAGACTTGCCTACTTCCCAGCAAGATCACACATTTGCCCCAACTTTATCAGACACCATCAAGAGCTATATATTGTTGGCTGAGAGAGCGAGGTGGGAGGGAGAAGAGAGTCAAAGGAAAATCATGGCATGCTCCAAGTCCAAGAGTTAATTCTGCCTTATAGTGATGAGTGATGGGCTCCTTCACAATGGTCCTTAAAAGTCTCAGGATAGATGGTTCCAGCTTCTGAATTTTTCTTCTCCAATTCAACTTGCTTTGAGAACCAACCCCCAGCTGATCTAATCTACGCTCTACAACCCCCAGCCCCTGTGTGTGTCCCTATTCTCCGAATTGTGCTTCCCCAGTGCAGGTGGAGCACTGAAACGAAGATCTGAACACCTGAGTTCAGCCTCTGTGGTCTTAGGTATCACCTAACTTCCTGAGCTTCTGTTTCCTTATCTAAAATGAGGGGAGCAGACTAGATCAGGAAAGGGAAAAATGTTTTCTCTCACATATCTACTCTGACCAAGAGGTGGCTTCTTGGAAAGCAAAAATGCAGGACTGTTTTTAGGGCCACATGTGAGATCAGCAAGGAGTGATGTGATTGATTAGCAATGCCTGCCACTGGCATGAGAATGGTGTTGGTTATATACACCAAGCATTTGCCATCCTTGAACGTTTTGCTCTCATCTGTCCTTCTAAGTCCAGCATTGGATGACTTGTCACATTACTCCCTCACACACTAACATCTTTATCACTTAACTGATACTTAATCATGTAATATTTTGTGCTTTCTTTTCACTGTTTGATGCACATTCATCTTACTTCCCTAGTGGGACTGTAGATTCTTGGAGGGGGCGAGGGGCATGTCTAGAATGCCTGGTACAGGATTGAATTCACAAAGCTGATGCCCAAAAAGGTATCATTATATTACGGGTTGATTTATTAGAGGAGCCACTGATCCTTTCAAGATGCTGGTAAATAAGAGAGCGCTAGCAATTCTCTGAAACCACGGGGACTCAATCCCCTCCAGTTGGCTGAAATCCTATGATTTGGCTCTTACTTGGGGAAAGAGGAAGAGGAAGAAGAGAAGAGAAAAGTGGAATAAGAAGAGGAAACGGAGGTGGCAGAGGAAAAAGAGAAGAAAAAAGAACATAAGTCCTCTTGCTCCGCTATTCAGAAGGTTAAATGGAGACCACAGAACAATGAGCAGACAGGAGAGACTGGTCTGATTTGCACTAAAAGAGGCCACTCCCCACCCCCCAATCTCACCATAGTTTGAAAATGATCATAAGGTGACACCTCATTGCAACCCCCTTCATCACTGCACCAGGGCAATGCTATCGCCATTACATAAACTGTGTCAGATCAGGGGGAACTGCCGCTCTTTATTTCTGTCCTCCCACTTTGTTTCTATGTGGAGGCCACAGATCAGAACAAACATGGCTAGGGCGTAAAATCCATTCAGTTACTGCCGTCCAAACTAATTTTACCATTTAATATTTGCTTTGTGCTAATTGAATTCTCTATTTCAATTGGCTGTTCTAATCAGAAAAGTGCAAGGATACATAGAGAATGCATTTCTATTTATTTACATGCAGGGATGATACTAATGCACTGCTATTAGCCACAAACAAAGATATTTCAAATAGAACATACTCCCAAATCCTACGGAAACATTGTAGCTCAGGCCTTCAGGCAGCAGAAAAAAAAAAAAAAAAAAAAAAAAAAAAAAAAAAAAAT